ATGCCATACTATACTATGACGTTTTTTGGCATTTTTATGCCATATTATACTATGACGGTTTATGGTATTTTTAGACCTTACTTTACTATGTCGTTGTATCCCTTACCATACTATGACGTTTTTATGACCTTTTATGCCATACTATACTATGATGTTTTTCTGACGTTTTATGCCATACTATACTGTGACGTTTTTTGGCATTTTTATGCCTTACAATACTATTTGAGTTGATGTTTTACCATACTATAACATTTTTATGCCATATCATACTATGTCGTTTCATGCCTTAGTATACTGTGACGTTTTTTTACATTTTTATGCCATATTATACAGTATGTCGTTTTATGCCATACTATACTATGATGTTTTTCTGACTTATATGCCAATACTGTACTATGACGTTTTTTGGTATTTTTAGACCTTACTTTACTATGTCGTTGTATCCCTTACCATACTATGACGTTTTTATGACCTTTTATGCCTTAATATACTATGATGTTTTTCTGACGTTTTATGCCATACTATGACGTTTTTTTGGCATTATTATGCCTCACAATAGTATTTCAGCTGATGCCTTGCCATAGTATGACGTTTTTATGACCTTTTATGCCTTGATATACTATGTTTATTTGACGTTTTATGCCATACTATACTATAACAACACAATTATGTCATTTTATGCCTTACTACATATGACGGTTTTTGACATTTTTATGCCATACTATACAATGTCGTTTTATGCCTTACTATACTGTGACTTTTTTGACATTTTTATGCCATACTGTACTATGACGTTTAGTGCCTTACTATGCCATGACGTTTTTTGACATTTTTATGCCTAATATAAAATATATATATATATATATATATATATATACATATTTATACTATGTACTATTACTGTATACTATGTACTATTTATCTTTAGCTTAATATAATCTCATGTTTTTATGACATACTATGACGTCTATGACTCACTATATACTACGATGTTTTTACGCCTTCAGAATCAGTATCTTACAGTGTAGTTTTCTTAGGCTGCAGTCTGCTGGGGCAGCAGCATTTCCGCCATGAAAAAAAGGAGACTGGACAAGCCGGTCTAAAATGTTTGGTGCGTTCTTGGCAGGAGTCTGGACGTACTCAGGACTGAGACAGAGGCCATCTTGGACAATACCAACCACCCTCTCCACAACATTCTGGCAGGTCAAAGAAACAGCTACACTGGACATTAAGTCTCTCATCTCGCTGCGCTACAGAATAGAAAGGTTCAGGAGATCCTTTGTTCCCACTGCCATCAGGCTGTATGACACCTGAGCCAAAGGACGTGGCTCATAAACTGGATTAATTTAATTATTATTGTTTATTATTAATCATTATTACTTATGAGCTGCTAGACACCTGAATTTCCGCTAGGGGAGAAATAATCTATCTATCTAATAAAGCTCATCATTATTATTATTTATTATCTTTTTAAATTATTGCTCTAGCTTTGCTCTGTCCTTAATAATATCTGTATTTAGAAGTTGGAGTAAGCAACTCTAATCTAATACACAGTAGGAGCAAGAGACTGTGAATCTGGCAGGGATGTCGAGAGAACTGATACTTTGGTATCAAATGGATGCCACAATTCTGAAAATGTGACTGTACTTGTTCTTCTACAGTACCGTATATATTTTAGGTACTAGGCAATTTGAAGAGAAGAAGAACAATAAAAAACAACATGCGGAATGACAACAGTAAAAAAACAAACAAAAAAAAAAAAACAGCAATGTACACTACATATACTAAAGTATCCTTAGTCTCTTTCAGATTTCTTTACAGCATACAACAGGACGAGGGTGCTGTTCTTCCAAAACACTGTTCAAAGTTTCTTGATGATGGTGGAGTTAAAGGCCACTGATGCAAGTGGGAAAAAAAAAAAAATCACTCTTACTCTAATAACTTGTATACAGAGCAATGCCTGTATGAAATGAAACACTTGCCTAACAAGAATGACCTTAAATAGAACCTATGATTACCAACAATCTTGCATTAAATCACCTAAAAACAGTAGTAAAATGTAGCCAAGATAAAGAAAAATTCCACTGCAGTGTTTAAAAAAACAGTCCTTTAGTGAAGAAAAAATCAGCAATGATCAATCAATTTTCTCACAGTGCATCTTGAATCATCTGCCTTAAATAGCTGAGCTGAACTCTAATTCACCTAATTTATTGTTTGAAGATTGCTGCAGTAACCAATCCTGCTCCACTCAACACTTAAACTAAAGCAACATTTGAATGAAACTACTCATGATGGATCTTGGATTGATAGATATTTGGAGGCTTGCCAACCCGAGAGAGAAGAAATATGCATTAAAGTTTAAGAAAAATCATCTCCAGGACAGATTATTTTTTGATAAGCAAGGATTTGGTGGTGAGTGTTTCTGATTGCGTAATAGAGACAGATCATGCTGCTGTGTGTGGGTACAGAAAATAGGTGGAGGCTGTGGACCCAGAATTCAGTGACTTAGTAGAAGAGGAGTTGGGAGAATTTATTCCAGTAAAACAATGGGTCGACAGATAAGGCTGAGACAGTCTGGGAAGCCTCTTAAGATGATATAAGAGGAAAGGTCACAGCCTAATCCAGTAGGAAAAAAGGGAGAGAAAAATGGTAAAGGATCTTGAATCTCAGACATTAGACCGACAATTAAACAAATGTGCCGCTGTTTGCTAGACAGTTACACCAAAATGAGGCCAGTTATACCATCTCCACCGCTGACAGGAAAAGGCTCAACAAACCGATCAAGAAGACCAGCTCTGTACTGGGATGCCCCCTGGACCCAGTCGAGGTAGTGGGCAACAGGAGGATGATGGTTAAGTTATCCTCCCTGTTGGACAACATCTCCCACCCCATGCATGACACTCTGACAGCACTTAGCAGCTTCTTCAGTAAGAGGCTGCTGCACCCACGGTGTGTGAAGGAGAGATACCGCAGGTCTTTCCTTCCTGCTGCTGTCAGACTTTACAACAAACACTGCACTCAGTGACCTTACACACCAAAGACTGACAATCCACCAAGTCATCTGCTGCTACTTTTTGTATTTTTTATCTTGTATATTTAGTATTTAATTGTACATATTATATTTTATTCTATTCTATTCTATTATTTATCTTCTTTGAGTATGGTTCTTGTCATTTGGCAATCTGTTTTTCTTTCTTGTACTGTCCACTTTGCTGCTGTGATGCGAGAAATTTCACCACTGTGGGACTAATAAAGGAATATCTTATCTTAAACAAACTTTCTATTCTATATCTTCTATTCTAACAACTGTTTATGAAGAATCACTTTCACCAGGGTAACTAACAGAAACATTTAATGATGCTTTGATTTCTCGATTGCAAACAAAAGAAGGATCCCACAGACCCAGGAAGTTTTAGACCTGTTAGTTTGATCAATGTAGATTAAAAGATCCTGACAATAGTTCTATCTATGAGGCTGGAAAGATTCTAACACACCTACTACACTCAGATCAAGCTGGTTTTATAAAGGGAAGGTCGTCTTCGGACAATATGAGAAGTCTTCTACACCTTATGTTGCTTAATCATGATGAAAGCATGCCAGTTGCTCCCCTCTACTTGGATGCCCAAAAGGTGTTTGATAGGGTGGAGTGGGGCTTTCTACAGTATACACTTAAAATGCTGTTGTTGTAAAAGGAAGAACAGAATATGGTTCAAGACTTTTTTTAAAAAGTCTTGAAAAAGTATATTACACTTTGTTTTTATACATAAAAAAACCCTCAAATTCTAAAACTAAAACTAAAACTTGCAAAAGCCAGAGACTAATAGGGCAAAGGGATGCTAATAGTGAGATTAGAAATGATTTATTGCAGGATGTGAGCTCAAATGTATAAACAGAAGAACATAAACAGGGGATGCAAGTTCATCCATTATAGAATTGGACATAGATATTATGTTACACCCCTGAAATTGTTTAAAATTGGCTTAACCCAAGATAATAAATGTTCGAAATGTAAGAAGGAAGTGGGCACATTCCTACATGTTCTGTGGGAGTGTTCCTCTACTAGAACCCCCAAAAATGTGTCTGTTATGGGATAAATCTTTCATGCCGACACGGCATTATCAACACAGAGTTTGGGTTAGCAGTAACAGTTTTTATTGTCGCATCCAGGGTTATTTTATGTAAGTGGAAGAGCCCACAAAGCCACCAGCATATTTACAGTGGATTGAATTTATGACAGACTACTTCTTTCAAAAAATTGACTGCCTGGGTAACTGATATACAAAGTAAAATTAGCCAAATCTGGTATAATTTTCTGACATACAGTATATTCAAAAGTGCAACATCTTAAGCCCCTTTCAAACTGGACAAAAAACCAACTAACAGCCACTAACACCTGGTTTTAGTTTGAGAGGATACAATTGGCAAACATGACACCCAGGTGACCATTTGATTTTTATTTAGCTATGCCATATTTATACTATTTGCTTTCTTGTATAATGTCAAACTATTAAAATAAATTAAATCTTAAATGCAAAAAAGGCAGCTCTTTTGGACATTTATTCAACAAATAGACAACCTGAAGAGTAGAGCCAATGTGTTCAGCACCATGGTATCTCTTCTCTACTACTCTTAACACACAAAGTCTGTCTCTGCTGCCCTCCCCCCTCATTTTCTGCTCTCCTGAACCTCAACTTATCAGGCAAGCCCCCTCACTCTGACCCCCAACACACAACACCCAGCCCCCACTGCAACAAGGGCAGGGCAAAGGGGGGTATAACATGTCTTGGATACGAGTGTGGAAATACATGTGCTGAGAGGAGTTGTTGTAGAAAGGCAGGGGGGCTGATAAGCCTGGTGGGTGGAGAGAAAGTGGGATGGATGAAGGGAGCACGGGAGGAGGGAGGGAAAGAGAGACAACACTGTGAACTCAGATGGAGGGGAGTAAAAATAGGAGGGTAGACCAATAGAAGTTTGACATACTTAAGACAATGACTACAGCAATTGTTAGTTGAACTGCTTTCAGCAGCCGAGGAAGCAGCACCTCTACGCTACAACTTCATCACAGCAGAACAGGAATTGGATGTTGCATGTGGAAAAGAAAACAGACACTATCAGCTCCACTGACAACTCTGGATAGTGGAGAGAAAAAGCAGCAGGAGAGCAGAGCTGCAGGAAGCCAACATACCAGCATACCACTACTAAATAGATAACACACCAAAAGCTCTTTCAAACCTCACACGAGGAAGGGGGGGAAACGTAACCCTGTTCCTAGACAGAGGAGTCGAGAGTTGAAGGCACAAAAGGGGAAACTAAGAGAGCTTTATTGAAGTGTGAGGGGGAAAACGTGTGTTTGGTGGACTGACCGGACAGAAGTGGTCTTGAGACGAGGTGAGAATAGCAGCAACAATCTGGAGGAGGAACAGCAAGAGGTCCACCGGGCCCCACAGCACAATGTGAGTACGAGAGCAGCTCAGAAACATTTAAATCATATTATGATTGACCCACTCCTTGACATCTTCACACAATTGATTACAGTTAAAAAGACTTACAAGAGCTTATGTACTTCTGATGTTCAACATAAACAACTCAAAAAGGTCTGAGAAAAATAGAATTAATTGCTGTAGCTGCTTTGTTCCAGACAATAGAGTAATAGATAGACTAGACAATAGGAAATCTCCCTGCATAATCCAAGCATGATAACACTGTAAAAACTAGCTCAGCACGCACATGACGGTATACACACTGTGACAGGAGTTTGAAAATTAAATCAAGACGACGTATTGAGTGGCTACATACCACTATGTTGCAACTACATTTACTTCATTGCACAATATTCTCAGAATTAAAATTCCTTAATTTGGGTCAAACAATGACATGACGTGTTATTCAAAAAAATGCTATTCAAACAATAACATTGAGTAAAATGGGTGGAGCACCTAAATGTATTTTCAGTAAGGGGCACTGTGAGTCATCTCACACACACATGCGTCTACACATACACTTTCCTGCCAGTCCTTCCTGTGTGACCTTCCACCTTACAACAACACTTGGGACAACAATGGGACACAGAAATGTAAAATAAACAAGGTTAAAGCACCCAGGACAGCATCATAAATAATGTCTTCCTCTATCACTGCCAATATCCAGCGAGTGTGAAATAGAAGCGCAACTTGATTTTTTTATGTTTAAACTTAAAGTAATTCCATTCCATCTTATATAAATACCAGACCCAACATTTAACAATTAACAACTGAAAATAAAAAATCTCAGCAACAGCAGCAACTTCTGTTGTTCACATAAATTACACATTATTTTTATTTTGTTAAAAATATGACTAATCATGCACCACCACCATCACCACAGGTGTAGTCCTCTGTTGGTCCTTACACTACAGCAACAGATTATTGCACATCAGAGCATCGTGGTGTTGTACACTTACTACACATCTGTTCACAGTTAGCAAATAAGATTCTTCAATAGTAATGACAATGTCTTCAGCAATCAAATTATGAGAGATTTGCCGTCATTGCAATATCAGATACTTATTCATGCATCACCCTTTAAAAGCAAAATATCTTCAAATCAACAATTAATGATTGCATATACCTGTCACTGTCTATTGTGTTGGCTAAAAGTAAAGACTGACAGGTTGACTAGATAATCCACACCGGGATTTTTCCATTGCTGTAGTTTTTCTGGCTGCTGACCTGGCCCTGTTAGTCAGAGTTGTCCCGTCTGGCTGAGGCAACAACGTCTCCTGACCTTTGAGAAGTGAGGATATCCTGTACCAGACACAGCTGTGCACCACATAAAATCTGTCCTTACACAGAGCGAATACAAATTACCTTGGATCAAAGCATGGAGGACCTCGGATTCTAAATTATGAATTTTGACAAACTGAACTTGAAAGACAAAAGGTAAATTAAGCAACCAGTGTTGTGCCATAATCACATCTTATATTAAACACTTTGCTTATGATGCCATTGCTTATTGATGAATTAATTATCAAGTGTTTCTATGTCTTGTCTTTAAATTATAGAGATACTAGATTCTTTAGACTAATGCCGTTATTTGAGAGAAAAAATAAAAATGATAACAGACTGATGCCAGTTAGCCTTCATCTCTCTACTACATAAACTACATATACCAATTATTGTCCCCTTTCCTTTTGGCCAATCAGCTCTGATAATCATCGCCCCACACACAACATCACACAGGGCAAGCTTCCTGGCAGATAAAACCCCTTAGTGAACCCAAGGTCTCTAAGCCTTTGAGGAGTGAAAATTAGTTGGGTTCAGAAGTGCTGTGTAACTACCACAATCAGACAACTGTACTAATCAATTCTCTTCAAATATAGTCAACAAACACGTAATTAAGGGCTGATCCAACAGTTTCAAAAAATCTACAATGGCAATACTGTTGACCGTGTCATTCCTATTTCCATCTCCTAACTACTAATGCCTTAAATTTTCTGCCCACAGTTCACTATGAGTATGACTGGTACTCTGGAGAAGGGGGCCCATCACCAGGTCTTGGACCTGTCTGAGGAACTGCCGCCTCATCACCACCATCATCATCACACCAACCACCACCAGCATCTCCACCACTCCAACTCTCTGGCCTCCACCATGGCTGTGGGTGGAGGGAGAGAGACACCTTCACGTGTGGTCGTACCTCCTCCTTATTCTGCAGCTGAGAGTGGTGGTGGGGGCAGTGAAGCTCCTCTGGAGCTGAGGGGGTCCCTGGACTGCTGGGCATGCTCCGTACTGGTGACGGCTCAGAACCTGGTGATCGCCACGATCAACGCCTGCCTTGCTGGACTGGTGTTTGGTACCATCCTGACGCCAGCGACTGTCATGGTGGTGTTTGGCTTCCTCTGCCACTCTACAGTAAGAAAGGGGGAGGCAGGGGAGGGGGTGGATCAGGGAGTGTAAGCACTGTATGCATGTTGAAGGATTCTGATTTCATTTCAGTGTGAAAGCTCTTTTTCTGCTAGGCTCTGCCTCATACTCATCCACAAATGGCCAGTGATCTTTCACACTCGAGCTGGTTAAGGCTACGTCCACACTACTACACTAAAGTGGTGTTTTAAAATGAAAATGATCTTCGTCCAGATGACTGTTTTAGCTCCGTATCAGAAATAATCTCTGTCCATAATATCACACCTGAAAACGCATATCACATTATCGTTTACGTACACTGGCCATGCGCAAACTGGAGGCTTCCCATCTGTCCTGTGTCATACTGTACTAAATGAGAGCATAGAAATGTTTGTGCAGGAATTTGTTATTCTACAGCACTTTTGCAATGAGACACAATTTACCCACTGACATTACGTATTTGCTCTCAGAAAATATTACCAAGCCTTCATTTTATTAGCAGCAAAGGGAATATATATGACTATCTCACAGACATTTAAAACCAGAGTAGTGCTCTTCAATGTGAGAGAGAAAATGTGCTTGCATGTTATTAAGAATAAATATTTACACACACATTTGCTACATCTAAACAAATGATGAGCAGAACAGGGAGATAGCTACAGCCATGTTTTTATGAAAGGCCTGAAAGTCCTAATCTTATAACTATGATCCAAAAGTTTGAAATAGTTCTGCCTGGGGCTGAGGGTGGGGTTTAGATCAGTCAGCAATGAGGGGTTTCATAATCAGATAAGTCTTAAGTTTTCTCAGATGTTGAAAAGATGGGTGAACTAGAGGGGGGCAAGGGGTCAGGAGTCTAGGGAGCCAGACGTGAGAGCACAAAACCTTTAAGACTGTTTGGTAGCAAGTTGGGGATTTAAAAAAAAACTAAAAAAAAAAAAAGATCAGACAAAAAATGAAATTGCACAGACTGTGTGATGAAAACAAGGAAAAGTTTTTATATCTAACTCAAAATAACCTATTTGAGCGGTAGGTTTTATCCTGGACTACGCCAAAAAGTCATCATGGTTCAAAGATTTTTAATGCATACCAATGGCATTTCTGTAGGCCAAGGACCTCCTTACTGACCGAAGAGATCAGGATTCTCTCTGTTCTCCTGCTCTCTCACAGTTAGACCTCATGTGACAGCAGCTTAGAGAGGGATTAACCAGGACCTGGGAGGATGGAGAGAGGGGGAGAAATCAAGAGAAAAAAAGGGTGAGAAGAAAAGTAGAGAAAGAAACGTGGGTTAAGTATTTAGGGATCCTTAAATTGAGCAGGCTACACTGAGCACACTTTTAAGATATTTAACGGACTTCTGTTTACAACAGTCGTCCAGAGACGCACACAGCGCAATACTTCATGAGCAAAAACAAACACTATCTTAAAGGGCTTACTCTGCAAAGCCTGGCTTAGATCTGGAGCCATACATGAGGCCCAACCAAACGAACATGGGCATACTGGTGAGAGTCTTATCCATTACAAGTCCTACCCACAAAGCTCCCCTGCACCATCCTTTTACCCTTTACTTTTTTAAACCTGTTTTCTGCAGTGTAAACCATCTCTCTTCCTTGCTTACTCTTTCCGTAACTCCTTCCCTCAGTGTTTAACGCTCTCTCTCCAGCTGGTATTCCTTTCTGGCCAGCTGTAAATCTACATCTATCAGAATAGCATCATAATATCTCTGTACTCATGTGTAGTATTCACCTTATACAAGTAATGCAACTACCAAGATCTGGAAATGACCATTTTCAGACCTTTCACAACTGTGTGAGATTCCTGCAAAATATTATCTACTAAACTAATGCACAATTCTCTCTTGAAAAGTTGATGAATCAAACCATAACTTTATTATTTATTTATCTTAGTGATCATTGATTGTCAAAAGATACAGGATTCGTAGTAGCTTTGCTATTTTCCCATCAACATGAACTCTACTATAAAAAATACTCTTCTCCCCTCAAAACTACGTCAGTCCTGCAAACCTTTCACTCCCGGCACTTTCTTTGTGCACTCAAATGTTCACTTCATCCTTCATGTGGCGATAAGGATGATTCAGGCCCACTGTCTCTCCATTCCTCTCCCACACTCAAATCCTGACCCCTTCACCTCCTCTTCTCCCACTCCCCCAGTGTTACTGCTCAGCAACAAGCACACATGCTTTGACATACAGTATGTACTGCTCAACATCTTTGAATCTACTTGACACAGTGATGGAGTTGATGGTTTGCTGCAGTTTTTAGTAAGTTCATACAGTATTTTCATTATTATAATTTTTTTCATTATTTTGTCAAAATCCGTTTTTAGTGGACAACTGATTCAGCACGTTCATGTGTGAGAGAGACACACACACACACACACACACACACACACACACACACACACACACACACACGACCAACCGGTGTCTGTCCTCACTTCATACACACATACACCTAAAAGTACGTCATCTCCTCTCCTTATCTGTTATTCCCAGCACTTCATACAAGAATTTAAATGAATGATGATCTACACATGAAAACACAACTCAGTAATACAGCAAATACAATAAATGTAATTAATAATCAAATATTAAATTCTTTGCCTGACATGACAAATCTGACTATATAATGTAAACTAAATAGACAACAGTAGAACTACACAAAGACAAACCTGCATTATTGCTGTACTATTTAAAGGGATTTCTCACAACAAGGCTGTGGCTTCACTGTTATATCATTATATTTTATATTGCCAAAGGGTCTTGAAGTAAGAGCATGCCAGCTGTTGCTCTGCAGCTGCCCCTGACCTTCCACCTCTCACTGAAAGCAAAAACGGTTTTGTCTAAGCACTGCTAAACACAAGATCAGAAAACATTAAAATAGAAGCTTTGATTCCTGGACCAGTAAAATACATTTGGGTGAGGAAAGTGAAACAGAGGTGCCCTTGAGCAGGGTCTTTCCTACCAGACTGGGGTTTTATTAGACAGTTTCCAGGTGCAAATGTGGTCAACTGTGTGAGAGTGGACCTGAAAATGTATTACTGTACTGGTCAAATAAAGGTTTCAAAAGGTTGACAAACTGACCTCTGCTGTGCTGTCTTTCTCCTCTCGTCTCCGCAGGTCCGCCCTCATGGGACAACCCCCTACTGCTCAGACCTTCTGACTGATGGAGGTTGTGTGGCTCTACTGGTGGTAGGCTTCCTCTTGGTGACCCCTCTGCTGGTCCTGGCACTGGCTGCATACTGTCGCTTGGCCCGACACCTCCAGCTGGGCTTGTGCTTCATCCCATACAGCAGGGCCGTGTACAAGAACCTGCCAGCCGCCCAGCACCGTGGCTTGGGCGCTGGCTGCTGCAGTGGCCGAGATGGAGCAGACGGCAGCGGGAAGGGAAAGGTCTGGGTGTGAGAGACGAAAGATAGAAGTGAAGAAGACCATTAGATGAAGTATATACAGGGAATTGAACAAAAGGGTGGGTGTAGGGATTGTAGGGGTTGAGGAAGAAAAGGCAAATGTAAAAACAGCAAAATGCGTACCAGAGAATGGAGGACAAGCTACGTTCTTATGAATAATTACTACTATCTACTATACTAACTGATGTTAAAGCATGGGAGCTTTAACATCAGTGAACAATTATTCACTGCTAGGAAAAACTGAACACACTGTACTAAGGAATTGTGTTTGCTGGTATTATTCCACTGGACATATTGGCTATTTTAAAACTTTCAAGTCAGTAACTTACAGCAAGATCCAATTAGCCATTACTTAAAACACACAAAAGGTGCCTGATAAAATCTTATTGCTGGGGTTAAAGAAAAGAACAAATTGGATGTACACAAGTGTTGTTATAAAAATGTAAAGCGTCTTATCTGACCTGTATATGACCTTAAATTTCCTGAATAAAACAAAAGGAAATAGGAAAACAGCACATCTCACAAAGGAAGTATTAACACTAAACATAATTGTACCTCATCACTGTTATTATGTCTATAGTAGTTTTCTGTGAAGCAAACTGTGACTGCAATTTCTTTAATTCTTTGCTTTTTATAAATAAAGTTTTTGGATTCAGCTGGAGTCATGTCTGTACTGTAGTAGCATGGGGTGGGGTGGGTTGAGTCTACTATTATGAAAAGGAAAGGATTATGTAAAGGCTGTTCCCAGTTTAAGAGCGACAAAGTGGCCTCAGTACAAGCCAACACCAATGTGAATGTGCACAGTTAAAAAAATATTTCCAAGTACTGCAAAAACTACACAGCTATTCCGTGAAAACAGTCACCATTGTCGGAGAATGTCCCCGGAGAAATCAAGTTTGAAAAAATAATTAGAGGAATTTAGGAAGTGCATGTAAGTAAAGCCAACCTTGTGACAAAGCACATAAAACCTCAATAATTCAGGGTTATTTCACCCCCAAGCGGTGAAAAAGTGGAATAACAGATTAAACTAAAGAAAGGACAAATCAAACTATCATAATTATAATTTATATACTACATGTACAAAAAAATTTGGTAAAATTTGACTGATACAATCTTGTGGTTCCCAACTTTTGTGGCTTGTGGCCGTGTTCAAATGTAGCAAAGTCTATTTGCAAGCACTAAAAGGTTGCATGTATATGAGCAGTTTGGGATTTTTCCATCTCATATTGGTCTGAAGAGCTTTTTGAGGGCCTGAGCATGTAAATACATTAAGATGAGAATATAACTTTGTACTCCAGGACTATACTTTGCTTTGATTTCCAACCATACATAAGATAAATTTTGGGAGCCACTACTAATAACCCTTATCCTATAATACCAAAGCTTTATAAATGGGAGATGCAGACTGCAAAAAGGACTTTAACCTATCTTCACTGAATTCATGAACATGCAGCACACAACACTACATGCTTTAAATATGCCTGTGCATGACAATAATTGCAATAATTGTGATATGATTCCCTTCCTGTGTTCATGTAGTTCTCCTTTCTACGCTTTATTTTGAATTATAGTGTCAGCCACATAGCTAGAACCTCATATGTACAGTGAGTATGCTGGCTAAGAAGACAAGACTTGCTACAGCAACACTGCACCTTTGTGGTGAAAGTCTGCATAGCTGAGAATGAGTTAATATTGAACAGTAATACAGGGGAGAGCGCGAACGCAGTCCCCCACTACCAGAAATTATGCAGTCGAGATTCCCACATTTGGGGAATTCGCATGGGTCAGCACAGCCAGAGTGCAATGACTGAGCCTCGCCCTGGGTGAACCACCTTCTTGATCATGGTATCTCCCCTGCCAGGTAAGTATGAGTTGTACATAGAAAACAGAGGGTGGTCATTCAGCCACATAGGAGTCAGCCTTACGGTATGATGGAAATAAGCAGAGACACACTTTTAGGTAGAACACAGTGATCAAACAACCTTTAACTCATCAATGAATCGTACAACATAATTTTAAAACCAAAAGTTCATTGTTTAGTACTCTTCCTATTTCCCATCATGCTTTGCCTTGCTGCCTGTGTGACGTAGCAGATTACTTTCATGAAGATTTTGTTTTCATATAAACATTTGCGTTCAATAATGCCCTTAATGTATCACTGTATAGGTTTCACTTGTCATAAATGTAGCATAACAAGTAATGAGTTACGTTCTAATTTTTTGTTTCATTGGTCTAGTACAAGGGCTTCACTGTACAGTACCATACTATCTCTCTGATGACTTTATAAATATGTTATATTTCCGCAACTTCTCCGAGTAGCGGATAAAAATCGGAGTGAAATTTGTATGCTGCAGTGAACGTCCAGCAAGACAAAAAAAAAACATGTCCTATTAGTTGTCCTATCTTAATTCAAGACGCCCTATTGCCAACGAACGATGCCCCATTTTTTTCCACAGCCTGTGAGAGCCACTACTGCTACAAAGGGAATAATAAACAACTACGAAACAAAGTCAAGCAACAAAACACGACGAATATACCGCATTTAAGATCATTTTTCCACAGATAACACATGGAAAAATAATCCTCATGTTGCACTGTGATAATAACATGAGCTGTGGCGCCATCTGGTGGACAATCACACTAATTACATAATTGTTTACCGAAAGGGGGAGGTGCAGCAGCGGGCCCTCTGCAGATTAAACCAACATTACTTGTGAAACAACGTACAAACCTGAAATTCTAATATCGCATTTATACCAAAAATTACTTTCGGTAAGAAAGATGAGTGGTACAAAACGTTTGTAAACACCTTAGTTTCTATTGCCCTACATATTCCCAGGTCTAGATACGAGCTATGTAGGCGCACTGATACTATTTTCAAAATGTATCCAACGAGCTACTGCTCGGCATTTAACTAATTTGATAATATTTCCCTAACACATTTCACGGATTTACTTATAAAACGCAATCTTGTTGCGTTTCCATTTAGTAATAGACAACTACTTTTTCCATTCTTTGCGCGTTTAGCATGACTGTTTGTCGAGTAGCGAAATGGTCTCGAGACTCATGGTCAGGCTCAAGCTCCTGAAACAGGCCGCGAGTCAGTTATGCTAATTAACTATAAACGCATCTTTTCTTTACCTTCAACCGCAAATACGTCGACACAAAACCGTTAGCAGAAACAAATAGCGTACGTTTCAGTGTTTCAATGTTAGTTTCAATGGCTGTTAATAGTTTGTAAAAGATTTTTCTTTAGCAGAAGACTTACCGTCTAGTTGAGGGGTCGACGTCCGCCACCGAAGACTTTCAGCGAGCCAAGTTCACTAAACTTAAAAAAATGTCTCCTGCTCATTTCACCGGCAGCGCTTGATATGTTTCACAAAGGTTTCAAAAAGGACGCTATAGAAATAGTAAATATACGGGTATTACAAATGTTGAGCACAGGTAACGGTGCACAGTTAACGGTGCACACGACGAACAGGTGAAAAGTCCCCTACTCGCACGTGAGCCGCGCCGAGAGTATGCAAATCACCCGGATGTAGATTGAGCGACGTTAATAATATAATATAATATAATATAATATAATATAATATAATATAATATAATATAATATAATATAATATATGGCAGGAGAAAGTGAATTTAAACTATTGTAGGCTACCTGGTGTTTTACAACTGTAGAATAAAAAAGGGAAATACAGCATGGACTCTGTTAAACATCAGAAAATTATAAATGTCATTGAAATAAAATGACAAAAAGTAACAACAAGTTGTTGCACAAAGCTTTGGGTTTCTAAATTTTCTCATCTCAAGAAATTTAGATACATTTTTATTTTGTCCAGAAGAATTCTCTCTGTGAGTTGAAACATCATAGATAAGCAGACAGAGGTGAACAGCCTGTAAAAATCATGACTATTGACTATTGTTCAGTAACAGTAGTAAAACTAGTAACAGTAAAATATCTGTCTCATCTCTGTCACAACTCATCCTCAACCAAATTTAAAGGAATCACCACTAGCCCCCAAATCTCTTATTGGTCAGACCATTAAAAGAAGAGCATGCACTGACATGAAATGATGCATGTGATCAAATATAATAAATTCTATATTTACTTTTTTCAGTTTGCCATTGCTGCCATATGAATTCTATAGTCCTTAATATTATTATTCACAATAACACAACCTGAATAAAGTGATCACAGTAGAAACACTTTCTAATATCAGAGCCAAGATCAACTCTACAAGGTTAAAGGGCTAATGTGAAAGCTCTAAAATTTGAAGGCTTGTTGCATCTACAAAAGTCTCCAGATAAAGACATTTAAAGCTGGGGTTGGACTGAGTAGAAAGTGACCTCTTAAAGATCACATCAGGCACACAGCCACTCCACGTTTTGCTTTCTAATCGTTAACTGGATGTTTAGCCAGGTAATTACCTGTTAAGCTTCTCTGACGGAAAGAGGTCAAGAGGAGATGGAAAAACAGAAGAGACAGGATAGTGTGCAGCCATTCTCAACACAAGAGTAGCACTACTCAAGGAGGACGAGAAGGGCTGTGCTGCTCACTTTCTTGTTTTCTTTTCTCACCATTTAGGAGAGGGAATTAAGGTAAGCAAATTAGTGAAGAAACTGGATTCATATTCAAGATATTGGAGCCAGCTGGGAAATTAAGGATTTGCAATGATAGAAAACAAATTATTTTTTCTTAAATGTGCTTTTAATCTTCTTGCAACTTCATCTTTTCCATACAAAAAAAGCATTTCTGAAAATATTTCTTGACCATGGTCAAAACAATATTTTGGTGCAACACCTCTGGATACAGTGTGAGCCTCTGTTCTTCCACAGCATGTCTAAGGCAGGAGAGAGGACCCCTTCCACAACCTCTGTCGACTCAGCCTCAACAGACGGGTAAATTTAGACTGTCATTGTATTTTTAAAAGTTCCTGTGAGTGTGAAATACAATACAATTTGGAAATGTGGGCTTTAGGTGACCCTTTTAATATATGACCTGCAAAGTGTAGAAGTATACTACTGCGTCACTGGAAGTTCTTTTTTTCCCCCTTATTTTAGGGGTATAAGCCAGATTTGCCATATAATCAAGAGGGTGTCTTATATTTGCAAGATAATATATAATATGCATTATTGTTTGATTTTATTATGTTTTAGCAAGGCTAAAGACTCCCCATCAGGTTCAGTCTCTGAATCACCCAAGAAATCATCAAAGAAGTCCAAGAAAAGCACTGAGAGTATGAACAAAGTCTACACTTCTGTGCTCAACAGTGTTTTTGGGGCAGTAAGTAACTTACACCGTCATTGTGGGATTTACATGTACTGTATAGTCAAACTGGATCCTCTTCTTGGCTATGATGGTGTCTGACCTCTGCTGTGACCTTTCACCTGTAGCTGATGCTGCTGAGTTAAACAGTTTAAATGTATCTGTGATAGCTTGTGTCACTTTCAGCAGCGACACCCACATCCCTGCCAAATTTAAACACATTTTTATTCAATAAAATTTGTGTTTACCCTTAATTTTAACAACTGAACATGAAGCTTTTCCTTATTGAAAATTTAATGCACCTTGAATTCAATCATACACTGAGAGATTTTCAAAGTTTTCTTCGACAAATCTATAATTTATTTGATAGAGATCTTAAGGCATGGAATTCCTAAGTGCAGTTGATGCTCATTATCAAATAAAGGCACTGTACGTCAGTCATTAAAACTTCAGAGGTGAGGTGGAAGTCAGTCAGAGTGCTTATGGTCTTCTTCCTGATCTTTTTGGAGCTGCCATCACTAAGCCTGGTGTGTCTGCAGCATTAGGAGCTCATTAGTTGTGGCTTAATGTCACTCTTCATTAGGGTTATCCTGATGAAGAGCACCGCCAAACCACTTGGTTGATTCAACTTGAAAATATTTACCTTTTCCGTTCCAAACTCATTCATGACCATGTGTATACTGCACCTAAGGAGTTTCCTCTGCACACCAAAAGATGGTCCTCTGCCCTCTGTATGTTGTGACATTGTATTTTGTCCACCTCATTAACTTGCATAATTCAAATACATACTCTTGATATGTGAAAGTAGTTGAAAGTCTTTGATATCATAGGCATTATAAGTATCATTACAACTTGATGTCAAGGTATTTTGGTATTATGTAATATCCTACTATATTAAATTACAACATGTATTTGATTCATGTTTCTGCAGGAAAGAGAACTGGCTCAGGCTGAGTTAGATGGTAAGTCTCATTGCCATAGCTCAATGCTTATATCAAATAACAAAGATTTTTCCTCTGAGGTTTAATTCATTTTACTTAAACTGTCCAACAATATTGACAGATGTCCCCATAGATTAAATACGTAGACAAACCTGGTGCCTACTGTATATTTTAGAATATCATAGTCTCTGTGATCCCCTGAACTTTCTCACAGAGCTGCAAGAGGCCTTCAAAGAGTTTGACTACGACCAAGATGGCTACCTGAACTACAAGGATGTGGCTGAGTGCATGAGGACAATGGGATACATGCCCACAGAAATGGAGCTGCTGGAGATAGTACAACAGATAAAGATGAGAAGTGAGATAATAAGAGCCATTTTTAAAATGATTTAATACAAGTAAAAAATGGCAATAAAATATACCACTGAATTAAAATTTTTTGTAATTTGAAGAAGACCTTTATTTCTTCACATAAAAAAATGAAAATTTGTCTGGCTGTTTTTGCTATTGAGCCCTATTTCCTGCCCTCTGTCATCTTTCCTCTCCACAGTGGGTGGATTAATGGACTTTGAGGACTTTACTGAGCTGATGGGACCCAGGATGATGGGAGAGACTGCTGACATGCTGGGACTCAAGGAGCTCCAATCTGCCTTCGTACAGGTTGGTCAGTTAATAATGAAAGAGGTATTGTAGTAATTGAATTAGAGCAAGTTGAAAGATATGATCAGTCAGCTGAATGTTATTAATGTGAGCTGACATATAACATGAAGAAATTAAGTCTGGTTTAATGTATCTGATACCATGAGTGAAAAAAAATCATCTGACATTGTTTAAATTAGATAAATGATGGCAAATTAAATTAGTCTTAATTTGAGCACGCACTGACCAGTGGGCTTCCATACAAGCCATTTAAAATAACAAATTATTTGTGCAGCATTTTTCAATTTTGAAGGGATTTTGTATCGACAACATATATAGTCCCATTACAACCACTTTCTTTCTGTTGTCACATTTTGATAACTTCCTGTTTTTGAAAGTTTGACCTGGATGGAGACGGAAAGATCAACCAGGATGAGATGAAGGAGGCAGTGAAGTCGATGCTGGGAGAGAAGCTGAAGAAAGGAGAACTGGAGGAGATCCTTAAGGAGCTGGACATTAATGCAGATGGAAACATCGACTTTGAAGGTGGGAAGCAGCAGTTGAGGCACATTCAGACAGTAGACAGCATGTGTTTCATGATGTGGATCATAATAATAATAATAATAATAATAATAATAATAGTATGTCATTGGTTCTTGCACTTTAGTCAGATAAACTCAGCCCTGTCTGAACCTGCTCTGCTTTTTCTTCTTCAGAGTTCGTGATGATGCTCTCCATCCGCTAGCTGCTGAAAAGACTGGCCACATGGACAGAATACACAAACGCTTCTGAATCATTCCATGGATAGTAAAAACAGCTATTTACCAAGTGGTCCATGTTGGTTACTACTGTTTGAAATGTAGGTATAGATATCTGCTACATAATGTGTGCCTAATTCTGTAATAATTGTATGAATAATGAATTGCTAATGGACTGAGAATGATTCTGTATGGCATCAAATACAATGAAAGCTGTCAGCAGGGTGTTCTTTTGGTAGATACATGAACTTTTTGCAGTGATAAATCTTGTAAATAAGACTGAATTGTTTTGCTATTTTAATAAAGAAATCTAAATCAGTCTTGCCTTTCACTGAAAAAACACAATGCAAGAAATAATTGAATGAACAGATAACATTTAAACCTCTCATATAGACTTTATTCCAAAAACATCTCTTTTATTACCTTCCGGTCACTGTTAAACAAAATGGAAATGACAAAGTAATTATTATCATCTAGAGAATATAAGTTAAATATAAATAAGTTCATTTTACTTGTCAATTGTTAACAACAATGCAGCTTTGAGCTTTGTCAGGTTCGCTGTCTTCAGAATTGGAGAAGCGTTTGAACATCCAAAAACATGGTGTGTCAGAAAAAAAGTCACATTTCAGAATAAAATCCCACATCAGGCCAACATTTGATGGTGGCACTAAAACCAACCATAAGCAGAATATCAAATTATCTTCTATTTGAAAATCTACTAGTTTAACACTACTGGTAACTTAATCTGCTTATTATTATTATAACATCAAACTATATGTGCACACAACTCAGAAAGGTCTGCAACATGCAGCACATGTAATCTGCTGAAATGAAAGTCTTGTTGTCACAGAATAAGAAAGGAGAGATCTTAACCCTCTAAAGAGCATAAAGTCGCACTGCGTCAGTGTTTCACAGGTGGAGAGGAGATGGATGAGACACTGCCGTCACATGAGTCAGGACCTGGGTTTTAACACATGCATTTAACTGATATGTTAGTGTTTTTTTTTTTTCTTCAAAAAATAAATTTGAAAAAGTCACATTTATCTTGTTTACAAATGGTCACAATGTAACTTTGATTTTTTCAGCCTTCAGTTCAGTCTTTAAATGGAAAATCCCAAACCACCACTTATTTACAATACATGCAGGGCCAGGATGAACCACTGAAAACAACTGATGTCACAATGAAAAAAAAAAAAAAAAAAACACAAAACATATCTGATATTAAGTGTATCACTCCTCAGCAAACTCTATTAACTCCTGTGTCCTGCTTGTCCAGTAAGTACAGCAGACTCCATGAATACATATTAAAAGGGGCAACTGCAAAAACAATGACATTTAAGACACTTCCCGTGGATTACCAAAGTAAATTTTGCACACTATCTTTGAGTTTAAATAAATTAATCACAAAATAAAAAAATTTGTCTCAAAACTTTGACTCAACTCCTCTATGTGACTGACTCGTCCATTTCTCCTCCTCTTTGGGGAATGTTTGCTCTAACTTTTTTAAACTTTACGACAATCACAGAAAGCAGATTTTGTAAACAAATGCATGTAACATCTCAGGGCATGTGAGAACTTGCTGAGTTAATTTGAACATTTTGTGCCCTTTGCATGGTGCTCACATTGGCAGGGTTGAGGGTATTCAGGCTCCCCAGTATGACACACACTAAGACTGGATGCGCTCACGGTATTTTAGGATGCTGCTTTGGATTAAAGCTCATACCAAATGGTATAAGAATGCATGTTGTATCATTTACGCAGCTTGGTGAGACTATTATGGATAGATTTAACCGTTTTTGTACTGTAAATGTGTTTGTAGCAAGTTTGGACTTGACCACAACATCATGCATGGGTGTATTATCCAATGGTCACACTGCAGTCACTCAAAATCACATCATAACATCCTTCATTGTACAGCCCCTAACACAACAAGCAAGTGGCTACTAGGCCTACACCTCTTGTCTTTCTGTCAATGCCAGTCCCCACATACTATCGAACCTCTCAATTTCCGTTCATCTCGTAACTTCTCTAACTTCTCTTTCATTTCATTCCTCTCTTCTTTTCTTCCCTCCTCTTTCACTCTCCCTAAATGGTAGATAGATAAAGATGGATAAGCTTTTCCTATTTAATCTATCCACAGCTCATGATGTCGTCACTGAGCAAGAAGACAACAGCTTGACTAGTAAGACTTGTTGACGATCTTCTTTTTTTCTACAGCTCATTGCTCATCAGCAAACTCAGCCATGATGTCATGCACCCAGATGTCCCTTTCTTCCTGTGAAGTGTCGACCAGGAAGACCGTCATCTTTCTGTCCCACGGGTTAGTGGCTTCCTGTATGGCCTCCAGCTGGGCCACGAGTGGTTTCTTCTCCACGTGGTTCCTGAAAACGATGGAAGCTTCTTCTGACCACTGCCTCGGCTTCACGCCTGTGGAGGGTGACGGAGAGGAATGAGTCAGTTATCAGGTCAAGTTCACTGTCACATAAATGACACCGCTACATACATAAAAGAAACATCTGGTAGGCATCAGATAGGCAGTCACTAGCTTGAGCTTTCCTCCCAATGTTGACACAGTGCATTTACTACCTTCTCTGCTCAGTTATAAAATGTTATCAACACGCTAGCCACCTAGAATGATTATAATCCAAACCTGGCTTTTGCAGTAAAATGAAATACCATTGCATATTTTAATTAAGTTATATTTAACTTTACTTAGCATTTACTGGGCCTTTACAAAAATAGAAATGTGTTAATTAGTGCAGGTTTAGATTAAACTTGACTCAACTTAATTGTCATTGCACATATTATGTAAAAAATTGAGTTTTGCATTTAACCAGATCAAATATCAAATACACATTAATATATTAAATACAATAAAATTTAGATTTAAATAGCAATGCTCTATCCACCTAAAAGTATATATCTATATATATCATATAAAGTATCTATCTATCTATCTATCTATCTATCTATCTATCTATCTATCTATCTATCTATCTACCTACCTAATCTAACTGTTTACCTTGTCTTAATTTTCAAAATGAATCTGCCAAATAACATGTTTGACATGATACAAGGTCAATTTTCAATTTTTAATGTCTACACAACAAAGTATTTGAATAACTTATTATACATATTTTTCTAATTGAATTAGTAAACAAATAGAGGTGATTGGTGCAGCTCATTTTACTGAAATTCATGCTGCTTGTTGAATCTCCAAATATAGAATGAAATAATTAATTGAATAATTAAATAATATACAACAATATAGTGTACAACAATTAGCTTTATATTTTAATCATCATGAGAAATTCTCTTTTGTCGTTCTTTTTTCTTTTTGGGTGGGTAGGGGGATATTTTGTGACTTTATTAGTGTCAACAGTAGAGTGCTGACTCAACCCAGGGATGCTGAGATTCATTGTCAGTCCCTTAAACCCCCAGGGCACCATAAGTAAAGGAATTCATAATTTTTGCTATTAAAATTTGCTGTGACATTTGTTCCATTGCACAGAAAATGGGACAATGGAATTGGATGTAGCCGAGGCTCATGTAGAGTTTGGATCATCGGACTCTACTCTGGCAGAGCTTCGTGTGTAGTTCGACTCTACTCACCAGCCAGCTGAGCAGTGATTCCCTGGAACGGCAGCTGTCTGAACTCCTTGATCAGAGGTCTGAGCTGGGTGCAGCTGACCAGCTCATGTTTACCATAGTCCAACTCATAGACAGACACCAATCCATTGGTCAGAACTCCCTTCACCAACACACGATGCCAGCTAAGAGAAGAGAGGGATGATGACTAGTTATAGGCAGAGCACAACTGTTTCCATTTGGCTTGTTACCGAATATCCACAACAGACACAGACCTCAAATGCTCGGTGGAAATCAGAGTAATAGATTCTATTTTTATTTAGTTAGCTTTGAGCCAGAGCTGTCAGTGTTTAAAAGCAGTATCCAGACCGTTCAAAATCGTAACAGCTTTGATCAAATTTTCACTGTTTTCATGAAAAGAAATTGAATTTCATCATTGCTTAACTCACTTGTTCTCCACTTTAGCAGCATATATCTGATTCTTCTCTATGTTGAGTGGTTTCTCTTCAGTTTTGTTGTAGTACAGAATCATTTCTCCCATCAACACCACCAGTTTGTACATATCTCTCCAGGGCTGCAGCACAAAGTGGCCTGGATGGCACGCCACTGACACATATACATCTATGTTGTTTCCTGAGAAGAAAAGATTAAGGCTACAGTCAGGCCAGATACTTAACTGTCCTGCACTAATGCATATGTGACTGATTTAATGCCATGGAATTTTAAGTAAGACAACGTTTTTTAAATAGCTATAATCAGTCCTTTCCATTTCTTCTTCTGTTAAATAACATCATTACCAGCTGGGGGAAGCTCTAGTAGTGGTGGCAGCTGGAGAGAGGGTGAGGGGGATGATGGTGTCTCTGGTGGACTGGTGGTGGTGGTGGTGGTGGTGGTGGTTGTGGTAGTGGTGGTGGTGTTTCCTCCTCCACTTCCTCTGGGTCCTGACAGAGCCCTTCTGAGATGAGGCTTGGCTGGGACAGAAGTTGACGTCGGACTGCCGTTAGAGGAGTCACTGGTGCTGGAAGTCTTGGAGGATAAACTGGGTGTGGAGATCTTAGCAGGGCTGCCAAACGAAATTCACAAACAAGAGATTTAGTGTGTAAAGTAATACATAAGCTAGACAGCAAAGCAAGAATATAGGTGAGTATAAAGCAGCAGAAACCTGTGGCTCGTCAGGAAAACATCTGGTTGCTGTTTAAACAGGTCAGACTGGGCCATCTGATGGTTGAGGCTGCGGGCCGGGTCGTGGAAGTTCTTATCGGTGAACAGGTGGACGTAGACGCAGCGCTTGGTTTCGTCCACCTTGGCAACCTAGGGGGCAATGAAAAGATGGATGTGAAACATACAGGAGGGAAGACATGAGGAAGGGAGGATGCAGGTACAGCATATACAGAGAACACAGACAAAAACAAAGAAACTAGACACCACATGTTTAAGAATGGCGGAAAGAGAATTACCTTCATGCTACAGTCAGTGATGTTGAGCACTTTCTCTCGCAGCCACTGGACAGCATCTGGAGTCCAGGATCCAACACTGACAACCAGGTCTGCTAGACAGCACTTCACAGCCTAAACACAGGTCGTTCGATGCGTTTTGTTACAGGATGTGTAGTATAAGGAAGTGATGAAGTACATACAATTACAATATTACATGACAATCTTTGAATATTTAGTTTCTCTTGACTGTTTTCCATTGTGTGTCTATGAAAGACATACAGCTGACCTGTGGTGGGATAGCCATAAGGTCACGGAGGAACAGTGGCGGGATCTCTCTCAGCTCGAACACCTCTACAGATGCCTGGACACCCACGTCGATAAACAGGATGTCCAGCACTCTGCTGCCATGGAGGTTAGTGATCTAAACACAGAAACATAGACAGAGAAACACAGAAGACTTTCTTTTTGAGCTAAGATCAACAAGGCAGCTACACCTGCCTCCATTGTGCAATTGTAACTTTATTCCTTTTGTCTAACATAAATCATATGTGGACACATTTAATAATTCACAGTCTGTACTCCAGGGAACAGTGGGGTCTTACCTCTACACGGGACCATTTGCCTTTGTAGCGGGCCATACATCCTTTCCCGCAAAAGGGTCTGGACACCAGGAACTCTGAAGTTACCTGGAATAAAATATATTTCATCAACATGTGTCATTGAGAAACCAGAGTTGTCACTGTTAACTTTGACCTACTTTGAACTACTTCCTCTGGATTGGTGAGGTTACTGAGTATGAGTAACTGATGCTTTATGACTGCAATAAAATTACACTGTAAAAGCTCACAAGCATTTCACAAGTCCACCCAGGTTGTTGCAGGCGTACACTACAGTGACTTCAAAGATTAGGACTCTAGATTTGTCGTTACTTGAAATGGAAAAGGGTTGACATTTTAAGAAATTAGAAAAGCATATGATATAATTATGAATTAAAGTTCTGTTAACCATCTTACTTCTACATTTATTACAGCAGTTGGCTCCAGTTGAAACATTTAAATGTGTTTGGGGTGCGCCTACATGAAATGGACACATTTTGGGGCAAGGTCTCTTTTGTACAAACTTAGGTACCACCCCTTAGGTGCACTTTTCCAGGCTATGAACTAACCGCGGTGTCACCCATGTCCTCTATTGGACATTCCCCTTACCTTTCTACCAGCCTGAGATAATGGTTGGCCTAAAGCCACATGACCATATGCCCAACCCATGTTTGTAGAAGCCCCATTGGCAGATATGTACCAGTATGTGTTTGCATATGATTGGTTGTTTTATAAATTTTTCTGTCTCATACTTCCCCTATTTAAATGTTGCTTGTAATGTGTTTTGTGATGACCCTGATGAATAATGAAGTTCTTCTGTATACTGCAAGTGCTGCTGGACTTTTGACCTCTTTCAACTATTGATTACTAAACTGCGAAAGTTCTTCTATGAGCTTTTCACTCATTACTCATCACCTTATTTTCCTCAGGTTGTGGAACAATTGCAAGTATGAAAATGTTATTACTTTCCTGTATGCTTAACGGTTGCATATGCGCTGTCTCTGGAATAGGAACATCAGATTGGAAGAAGACATTTCAAGACTCCACACTATGTTTACCTAAACACTGACGTAGAGTGTTACTGAGCTCCAACCACAAGGACAGCAGTGGCACACCTAGAAAAAGCATCGGCTCCACTGTGCTGATAACAGATTAAGTGGCTTGGCAATGTCTTAACTCCAGATTATCAACCTAATCTCAATCTGTCCACAACTCCGCCTGAGAGAAGCAACACAGCACAAATACATTTCACAAAAAGATTTTAAGATGAATGTGTGAGCCTACTCCGTTCACTCCCTGATAATATGGAGCCAAACTAAACATGCTGGGGTGAGCATGCATGCGCGCACGCACACACACATGCACACACACACACACAAAGATAAGCATCTGGTCAGACATATAAGCATATGACAAGGAAGGTACATACTTTTTTTTGTGTGCACCCCATATGTGTGTTCTTTTTAAAATAGTAATTCTATATAAATATATAAATACTTACTTAAAAAAGGGTGACATGTAAAGCTACACAAAGAAAAGACTGACAAGCAAGAAAAATAAATGGATAGAACACAGAGGAGCAAATGGGCAGTCCAAATGCTCTGAAGACTGTAATAAATACAGAGACATAGTTCCAGAGTCAGGAGTGGGCCCCATAAATGAATAAAATGATTTAATGATGTTAAAGGACAGAGGTCTGTAACCATAAACTTGGTTTGTAATCATAAAGGTTGGTGTTACTGTCAACATATTGCATGAATAGACCAAAATCAACAATGCATGATTCTATCTCTCTGTACTTTCACTCTCTCCTACCCTCTCACTGACACACAGAGCTAAGCTAACTGAATTCTACTGAGGACAGGAATCTTTATCTTTTTAAAGGCTCAGTAATTAATTTTATCAGTTAGCATTACTTAAACAAGTAAATAGTGGTGACTAGTTTCTGCTATGGATTAATAAACATGGTGTGGTGGGTTTACGGCTCCAGGACAATACTATGGGATGTTCTTAAACTAAACAACAGTGGCTATGTTCGTTATAATGAAGGTCAATTAGTGCGACAGCAAAGCTCATTAATGTATAAATAGTAATGTATAGCATTACTATTATAGCCATAATAGCAATAATGTTTTAAATAGTTTTTGGTTGACAGTGGAGGCCTATGGCACATTTGGATTACCAACTGAAAACATAAAAGCTTTTACAGGGACTGAGACATCAAATACATCATGATGTTAACCTGTGAGTGGAAGTACGTCTCAATATTCTCCAGTATCTCATTCAGCTTGGCAAGGCCTCTGGATGGCAGTTGACAGTAGATGGTCCCATCTGAGCAGACGCTGCTGACAGTCACGTTCATATAGGCGCTGTTCACCTGAGGAGAGCGACTGATAGAAGTTTAGTGTGTTGTATACTCTCACTCACACACACACACACACAAAGACAAATTTAGCTTCTGTACCTGTAATGGGCTTGCTAGCGTCTTGTCCTGCAAAGCTTTCATACAGGCAGCGTTGATGTTGACATCATCATCCTGCGACGTGTCGTACAGGACGACAAGAGGAGTCTGCCCTCTCTCTAGGATCTCAGCCAACAGGATCCTACCACTCGCCATCATCTCAAACTTCTTCAGCACTGCAGGCTCCTGACAAAACGGCTCCAGACCTGGACAGACATACACACACACACACAGACACACACACACTGGTTACATCAATTTGAACTAGAAGCCAAATGATCATGGTGAAGAGAAAACAGGAGAAGCAAGAGGATAAAAGAGCTCCTGTCTGATCAAAATAACTGATTTGCTGATGATGTGTTGATTCAGACTCACCTGCTAGCTTACACTTGGTTGCCTGGAAAGGCAGTTTGAAAAACTTCTCGTTCAGCTCAAACACTTTGGTTTTGCTGATCACCTCTGAGAAGCCATGATCCACATAGTACACCTACAGAGCCAAGGGTAAAGACAATAGGGATCACTACTGTTTCCTCTCATCCAAACATGATTATTCATTATCATTTTTACACACTGGAACCCTTTGGTTTTAACAGGAGGGGTGATTAAGCAGGATAAACTGGGATGGTGGCAACTCAAATTATTTTAAAAAATTCATATAACTTTTTTTTTAATCATATGATTTTATTCATCTGTCTACTGACTTTTAAATAAATTTTGAATTTTTCAACAACAACCTAAAGTAAAATAAAAGAGGAAATCATACTTGACCTCCTAACCGTTCCCATATCTTAAGTAAATAATCCTCATCCTTACAGTTCTTGATCATTTACATGGCATTCCATCACCAGTATCCTTGGTTATTTCCTGTTTTTGACCTCTCACCTTGACCTTGTCGGACATGACCTCACAGACTTGCGCCCGCAGAATCTCCTCTTCTTCCTCAGCTCTGACAGCAACAAGTTGGCCCGAGCATGGAGATGACAAAGGAGTTGGACTGCTTTGGTCCAGGCCATAAAACTCCCTCATTTCATCCTCCATGGACTCCTGGGCCTGGGAGTAACCCTCACCAATGTACCTGAAAGAAGAGAATAGACAGTTAGAGATCCAGGAACTACTGAGTCTTGCAGCACATTCATACTCACAGTTCTCTCCTACCTGAGTATAACTCCATTGGTGTTGGTGGCCTCCACCACCAGCACAGAGGGGTACTCCTCTTTGGGGATCTGCAGAGAAGGCACCGCATGGTTACTGAGCCTCCTCCCCAGCTCCTGCCTCACCCTCAGCTCCTCCTCACTGGTTGAGGAGTTCCTCCTATTGCAGTTTTCATCCTCTCCTCCTCCCCCCTCAGTGCTGCTCCTCCTGTACAGGATGGCCCTCTTGGGGTTGTCAGGCATCGGGTAGTCAACAGTGCAGATGTCAGAGAGGAGATGAAGGTTCTCCAGGACATGTCCAGGCAGTTTGGTCTTGTAAATAAATAAAATATAAAAAAATATTAAAGGCAGCTTGCTCCAAAATTATGTAATGACATGTATATGGTAGTCTTTTTAAAGTGTTACTGACTTTGTAGGTGTCCTGGAAGAGCTTGGGCAGCGCATGTGCCCACAGGCCGTTGGAGTACTTTACCAGCAGCTCTTCCAGTTTCAGCTTCAGGTCGGGGCTGAGGGTTGCAGGGGAGGAAGGAGGACTGGGGGACGAGGAGGACGATGGCGGAGACCGAGGAGAGCGAGACCCAGAGCGAGTCAGATGGGTGGCGGGGAGTCTCTGTTGGGCAGGGGAATGCAAGGGTTTATCTGTCGGGGCGTTTGAAGTTGGGGCGGGGGCAGTGGTGGAGTTTGGGTTAAGTATGGGTGAGGGGGAGGATGTAGTGGTCTGTTCCTTGGCTGGGTAGAGAAGCAGCTCTGATGGGTTGCTGCTGCAGGTTTTCTCTACCTAGAAGAGAAAATGGAAAGGACTCATTATAAAAGACTGAAAATTAAAACAAATTCATGAATTAAGCATTGTTGTTACAATAATACATTTTTAGAATTGATATTAATTTGTTGTTGACGAGAGTGAGTGCATCATACAAAGTCATGACTTCTTCTTGATATCTAAATAAAATCTGTAATTTGTGCCATATAAATAAAAGCAACTGGAATTGTCTCAATGTAGATGATAAACTAGCATGACTTAGGATTACTTTAAAATTTGGTCAATAGTGTTTCTATGTGGAGGCACATTACATAACAGAAAATCTAATGTGGATTTTAAATTAAACTCAAAACCTGTTTATTTCCCCGTTGAATGTTATCAGAATAAGCCAAGGTTCATGAATTAAATACTGCTGAAAATGGCACTCTATTACTTGCTTTCATCCTCCTCTGTGTTCTCTGGAATATACAGACTGATATAACATTGCAGGTGAACTGCTTAACATGTGCAATATGACATCATAACCTATGCAAAGTAAACTGTACAAGGCAAAAAGATTAAAAATGAATTATTTCCATTGCCATTAAGAATTTGAATATAAAGATCATGCAGTCTTTCATTGGTACCATTGTATTAACATTTTATCACAAAATATATGTAGTGAAGACTGAAGGAATTTTATAAAAGGTATTGAGTGTATTTTGTCATAATTATGGACAAAAATGTGTTTGTGAGGTCACAGTGACTTTGACCTTTGTTCAACAAATTCTAATAAGTTCATCCAAGTGAATGTTTATGCCAAATTTAAAGAACTACCCTCAAGGCATTCCAAAGATTTTGCATTCATGAGAATGGTGTGTATGGACAAAAAGAAAAAATAATTCCTCTGGCATAAAAACAACTTTACAGATGCAAGGAGGACATACAGTGCATATGTGTGTCCAGGTCTCCAGGTCTTTGATGGCCTCAGTGGGCAGGTCTTGTTTGTACAGCTCTCTGTAGATCTGAGGAAGCTTGGATACCCAGAACCCGTTACTGTACTTCCCCAGGATCTCCCTGATGCGACCCTGGACCTGCTGAGGGTTGTAGGGCTTTCCTTTACCTGAGCTGAGGCTCTCATTCAGATTCAAGGGTGCTGGAAGATCAGAAAATCAAGAAAAGACAGATTACACATACACACACACTGATTCAGGCAGACACTGCTTCTACAACGTTGATCCTCTGTCCTCTGAAACAGCTGGATTGCATGGTGTGCTTTTCTCCAAAACAAAGGCATTTAAGTCACGAAAGAAGAAGGTGATTTGAATTACAGAAGAGAGAAAGATCGAAGAATGATAATGAGGTACATCCACAACCCAATATTCTTCCTTTTGCCCCTGCATATGCCTTTACATGGACTGGAATTTCTCTATAGGTTCAAATGAGCTACATAAGAAGAGTAGGAGAATTTTCTATCCAGGGGTCTCACATTAAAGGAGCTAATTGTAAGTTTTGCTATTGTTACATAGCCAACGTTAGCATTAACAACCAGTCTAGAAGAAACTTTGCAACATCAGCATACGGCTGTCTCCAGCCGTCCATGCTAACCAGCTAGCCCCGGTCTGGCCGGACCGTCTTGTCACTTTGCAACGCTGACTCACTGTAGTGTTTGGGCTGCCCTGAAGAAGTAGCATATCATAACCTCTTGTACTGTAAACAGAAGGATGACTGAAGCTCTTGGTAAGAGTGGTAATCAAAACAGCTGTTAATGCTAACTTTGGCAATGTAGCAATAGCAAAACTTAAATTAAAGAGCTCCTTTAATATCATTTCCTCTTCACTCAGGGTTGTCTCTATATAAAGGGAGTACAGGCTTTTCAACTGGTCAGTATCAGTGCTTTAACAGTTTCCTCCTGTCTTTAGGGGCCTCAAAGTGCTGGACCCTTCAAAATATGTGCCTCAGAACTATGCAGCTTATTACAGGTCAGTGCTTTTCCCGAGGCTATACATGGCACTTCTTCAAACAGGCAACATGATAACAAGCACATCCTTAGTTTAAGTAAAGGCTTGTGGGAGAGGAGGAAGGCTCACACAGACAACACAGACACTTGGGAGCTGATATAACTTCAAACATTTTAAAATAGACCTCATGTCCACAGGAACCTCAGAAAGGCAACTGAGATGGGGTTGCTGTTTGTTTCTTTTACAGATGACAAACCCATGAAGGTCTGTCAGAGACAGATACAGAATTTGACACTTCACATGATGTCAGAGCCTGACAATGAAGAGCTGTCGCTTACATAGTTGAGTCTTCAATGTAAATGTCCACTGGTGGTGCTTAGAGCAGCTGGTCACTATTTGAATTGTTTGCAGTAATACAGGCCTAGGCAACGTTTCTGTTCGCTTAGAGGACAAAAAGCTACACAAAATGTATTTTGAGCATAAGACAGAGCAGCCTGTCCTACTTACGACCAGTCTGTTGGGAGTTTCTGGAAAGGTGAGCGTGTACCTCCTTATGAAACCGTGAAGGCAGGGTCATCCTCTTGTCTGACCTGGACACAAGAGAACACAACAAGCAGGAGGATTTACTTTCTTTGGCTTCTGGATGAGAAGACAATTGTGAACAAGACAGACTTTCTCACTTTTTATAACCTCCAAATCCAGTGACATCTTTCTAAAGTTTCTTTTTCTAAAAAAAAAATCACCAAATTTAGGTTTAAGTTTTAAGGCTTGTCTAGGTCTGGCTCTGTGTGGCATGGAAGATTATTACTTCTAAGCAAACTACTGTCTGAGATCTTTAAAAAGGATTTTGCTCAAATCTCAAAGTCTAACCAGATAAAAGTTCAGCGCAAGACAAAGTCTTTTTTTGGTTTGTCCTCAGTATGACAGTCCATTAATCAAACTGTCTCCATCCCCCATTGGTCTAGAACAATGGGTTTTGGGACACTACACATTGGCTAGTACATTGCACTGCAACATATTAGGTACTCCTCCTCAGACCTAGACAGTGAGAAACTGAGAATGTATGGAGAGATCTCTATATTATTTAACATATCCATCTCTTTTTGTACATAACAATGAATGATTTAATTTTAGTAATCTTATTTTATAGGTCAATCCTCTTCTTTCCACCCCCTCTCCCATACCCTTTTTTCATTCAGATGAGTTACCTCAATGATATAGTAACTACGTTGTTTAAACTTTTCCTCCCTTCTGTCTTGACTAAGCCTATCTTCCCCTCTCTCTCTCTTCAGGCACAACTTCTGGCTCACCCAGGCAAATAGCTAAAAATGGAAGCAAGCAATCAATAAACAGAGCGAAAAGGCTATTCTATACGTGACTCTCAATGGCTGTGAAAAGGTTTGAAGGACTTCACTGCCCATACATACAGTGGCTTCAGAGAGTATTCAGACCTTTTCACTTTTTGCATACTTTATTGTATTGTAGATTTTGTTGTAAATGGATAAAATTGCCATTTTTGTACATCACTATACACTCAATAACCCATAATGACAAGCGATACATGTTTTTATAAATTTATGCAAATATGTAAAAATGGAAATCTTAATTTAAAAAACTCTTCAGACTTTAAGTCATCACTGTGTAGAAGCCCCATTGGCAGCAATTACAGCCTCGAGTCTTCTTGGGTCAGTCTCTAAAAGCTTTGCACTCCTGGATTTAGGGAGTTTATTCCATTCTTTCTGGCAGATCCTCTCAAGCTCTGTCAGATTGGACAGTGTCTGTGAACTGCCATCTTCAGGTCTCTCCACAGATGTTCTATGTGGTTTAAGTCTGGCTTTTGGCTGGGCCACTCACAAATAGCTAGAGACTTGTCCCAAAGCCACTCCAGCATTGCCTTGGCGGCATCTCTAGGGTCATTGTCATGCCAAACCATCACCCCAGTCTAAGGTTGTGTGTTCTCTGAAGCAGGTTTTCTTCCAACGATTTCACTGTATTTGGCTGCATTCATCCCTCCCTCAATTCTGAGCAGTCTCCCTGTCCCTGCTGCTGAGAAGCAGCCCCATAGCATGATGCTGCCACCACCAGGCTTCACCATAGGGAGATGGTATTAGCCAGGTGGTGAGCAGTGCCTGGTGTTCACCAGACATAGTGCATGAAGTTCTACCCAAAGGGTTCAATTTCTGTTTCATCCAACCAGACCACATGCCCTGAGTGTTCTTTAAATGACTTTATATGCCTTTTACTCAAAGTGGCTTCTGTCTAGCAACTCTACCATAAAGGCCTGATTTACTGAGAGCTGCTGAGATTGCCATTCTTCTGGCAGGTTTTCCAATCCTGCAGAGGATTTCTGAAGCTCTGTTTGAGTGACTGTAGGGTTTTTGGTCACCTTCCTGACTGCCAGCCAGACAGCCAATGCTAGGAACTCTAAACTTCATCCATTTCACGGTTATTGAGGCCATTGTGCTCCTGGGAGCACTCAGAGAATTAGAAGTGGTTTTGTACCATTTTGTATCAGTAGCCCTTTCCAAACTATGTGCAATCATTTCAGTGTTCCACAGGTGGACTCCAGTCACATTATGAACACTTCTCAAGGATAAATACAGCCAAACAGGATGCACCGGTCTGAATACTTGAATGAAATGAGAGATTTCAGGTTTTTATTTTTCATTTTGTAAAAGTTTCTTAAAACATGTTTTAATTTGTAATTTTGGTTATTGAGGTTAGAGTGATGGAGAAAATGGAAATATTATTAATCTAAAATGAATCAAATCTACCGCACAATAAAGTTTACAAAGAGTGAAGGGGTTTGAATACTTTCTAAAGCCACTGCAGATCATGGAACATAAAGTCAGCAATCTGTGCACTCCACTGACCTACATTTTTTTACTTTGTGGCTGGTGGAGGTGGTGAAACGAAATCGCAGCAGTCTCAACCACCACTGGTGTTTCCCTGGACTGAAAACAAATGCACTTCTGCGTCAGGAGTCAAGTTCTTATGTTACTTATAGCCTAGCCTTCAATCCATCACTTCCTGAAGGAAGCCAATGACCAAAATTGGCTTTGTAGTGTAATATTTGTTTGATGGAATAAATGTGACGATGTCTATTGGCAGCAGTTGAGAGGAATTTCTTTATTAGAAGCCTAATTTTTACTCTTCCATAAAAATGAAGCAACTTTTGAGAGTATAAAAGGTACAATGCAGTCTAATAGAATAACAGTAAAGTTGGCACAAAGTTAGTTAAAGTGGTGGTTTTCTGGAGCCTGTTAGACCAAACACAGTACTTTCATTCTTCCATTATTTTAAAACTTTTGCCAAAGGAACCTGTGATTTCACTGTGAACAACTTTGTTGGATTATGGCTTGAAAAGTCCCAAGTGGAGCCAGCATTTGCCTGAATGCAACAAAACTCTTTTAAAACAAAACTTCTGCTGTTATTTTAATAAAAGCTGGTTTTGTTAAACTGAAATTCACTATTGGCTGTCACATTACATTTGCTGAATTTACCACTTGCACTCCCATAGTGTGTGCACGCGCACGCACGCACACATGCGTACACACGCGCATACACGCACACGCACACACACACACACACACACACACACACACACACACACACACACACACACACACACACAAATGATGATAGTGCCAGCATACTGTCCAATGGAAGTTCTAGAGGGATACAGAGAGATGTGCTGATTCACTCTGTGTCGGTTTAGAAGCGTTAATCTACCAAAGAATAGAGCGGGGATTAGAAAGGGCTCACATCCCCCCTGCTCTGGGCTCGTGTCCTCTGCCAACACACCAGGCTTCCCACCCTGTTGCCCCATTGTGCTGTGGAGGGCCAGTGGCCCACTGAACACCCATGGTGACACAGACAGAGGACTGATGTCAGTTGTTTTCACAGCGGACAGACGAACAGAGCCGTGGATGCATGGAAGTGGGAGAACAAGTCAATGAGCTGAATTAATCTTGATTCATTGTTTAAGCAATGCAAATAGATGATATCTAGCAATGTTGGGAAGCTTCTTTAACAACAATAAATCAGATGTTTAACTCAGTCAGGATCATGGTGAATTACAGTCGCAGTATGAAGACAAAGACTATTAGAATGAGTATTGATTTTTTAAAATATATTTGTGCCAATAACAAGCAAAAAGAAAGAGGTAGACAGAGGGAGAGAGAGTGAGAGGAAAGATGCACACAGAGAAAGACAGAGAGAGAACCAGAATAATCTAGAGAGCACATCATCAGGCCAGTGCTGAATAAGCAGCAGCAGGGAGGCTGTTTGCACTCATAAACCAACCAGAGTTCAACCAAGCTCCCATTCACCAGCAGCCTATTCTGATTCAGCTCAGACCACACAGGTGGGGGGGTGGGGGTGGGGGTGGGTGGTGGGGGCTAGAAAAGACAGCAAGAAAGAAAGAAAGAAAGAAAGAAAGGAAATATCTTGAAATAACCCCCAAATATATTTCTTAGATCAACTATCTTATTAACTATCTCAGATTTTCATAGAAATTATGTTAAAAGCTGCACAATGAGTCTACAGGAAACTGTGAGACCTTCATTCCTCTACTTGGATTTCCAAAACAGTGTGGAAGCTGGGTTGGTGACTTCCATATATAATTGCACTGTAAAATCCCACAAATGTGTAGAGGCAAAGCTAAATTGCTGTGATGTGAGCTGAAATTGGTCTTTTCTAATTAAAAGCCTGTAGAAATTCTTACTCTTTTGGAATTGCAAAATCTAGATTTTGTTGTATATTCCTCAGTACCAAAAAGAGTTACTTGAAATTAATTTTCCAAAACTTCCTTTTATCCAATACAAAAAAGCATAAAATTGATCAAATTCATAGTCACATAGATGCATTACTCTATTAAATTTTCCCTCTGTATCCAGCTGCTTACTCCAATCTATTTCTACATCCCCCTCCTCACTCACTTCTCTGCAGGTGGGTTTCCTTTCTTGTTGGATGTGTTCTGATTGGACATCTTGTTTGGATGTGCCCCAGTCTTACTCTCTGACTGGCCATCCCTCATGTCCCTGGCCTGTCTGAAGTCTCCATGTCCGGCCCCTCGACCGCTGCCTCCTCCTCTACCACCACCTCGCCCGCGGTGGTTCGGCTGCCTCAGTGAGGTTTGAGGTTTGGCTGCACAGTGAGAGAAAGAAAACAAACAAGAAATGTTAAACTATGAACTTAAAGAGTCAGGGCTGTGTATCTGTCTGGATGGCAAAGTGTTATAGATAGTGAAATATCTGTAGACAAATTGGATGTGATGAATAACATCATAGTTCCAATTAGCCTGCAAACAGCAACAAACACAATATCACAAATTAAAGATGACATTATCTATCAATATCTGCATCTTTGCTTATGCTATTGGATTTGTCAGTTTAATTGCCCAACTGGATTGTGTAAATATACAGTATATGAGTGGGGAAGGTCAAGGAAATACACCTATTTGTGTTCTTATAATTCAGAGTTAAAACAACAGTATGTAACTTTTTTTTTTAATGAAATATGCTTAATGTGTAAAAGTGCTGCCAAAGGCTTCTGTGACCCAGGCTGATTGAACAGCCTGGTGGTAACACTGCAAAGATATTCCCTTCAAAGTTTTTGAGTGAGCCTCGCCCTTATAAGGGGGGCAAAGTCAGGGGTGGGAGCTCAAGGCTGTGTGTGGAAGGCGTCACTATGACTGACTCACAGGCCAGCAAGCTCCTGATTCATGCATCAGCTGAGACAGCGTACACAACAAGGATATAGGAGAGTCTCATGCTAGCCCTAGCTTGATTTCCAGAACCTGCATATTGTAGCTTTAAATGAGAAGATTGATATACCTCTCATGTCTGTGGAGCTAGAGCAGGAAGTAAGTTAGCTTAGGTTAGCATCAAGACTGAGAGTAGAAGGAAACAGCTAGCCTTGCTGTCTTTAAAGTTCAAAAAACACACCTACCCACACCTCTGAAGTTGAATCATTAACTTGCTGGGGATGAGAGTCCAGGAAGTCAGTGCATCCAAAATAGTTAGCTATAACAAATAACTCTCTGTAAAGCCACCTTGTCATTTTTACATTATGGTTTGTGTCCAGATTAAGTAAACAAGATTCAACATGAACATTTTCAGAACTTTACAGGTGCCGGCAGGTGCACTTTTACATTTTGGAGATAGCCATGATAGCTGTTTCCCTAACTTTATGTTAAGCCAATCGATGCCTGGCTCTAGCTTAAGAGTTAAGACATGAGAGTTATTTCGATCTTCACATCTAACACTCGATAAGAAAGTGAAAGGGAGTATTTCCCAAAATGCTGAACAATCTATCTTAATGCCTAAAAGACTTATCAATAATTGAAGAGAAATAGATTGTTTCCTCGTTGCACAATTCAGGAGACTGTGGTTACTCTAGGTGAATGAAACTACATGTGTAAATATAAAAAGAGCATACTATCTAATATAGCATATGATATATACAGGTTATAGGCTTGAAACTTAACCTGAATAATAAAAATTAAGCTTTTTTTTGTTGAAAGTTTTTTTTAAATTTATCTCCTCAGTTTAAGACCGTTAACATCACTACTAGCATGATTACTTTTAATATGATTACAACATCGAGTGAGTGATAGTCACTGTCTGTTCAGTAAAAACCCCAAAAATCTAACTGCAATTATCCTAACACAGCACCTACCAGCCCAGTCCCTTATCACAATGGTGTTACATCATTCAAGCACAGCATGACATCACATTTCTGCTAAGTGACATCCTCATTATACCTTGTTGTGCATAACCCTTAGTCATTTCCACCCCATCACTCCCTCTTCTTTTACAGTTCTTCATCCTACAGTTTGTTTTTATCTTCACTCTTTTCTTCATTTCTCTTTTCCTCAGCAAGGTCTAGAACTTTCTCATCCTCTCTCTTCTTGCTGAATCTCATTAAATCTTTCCAGTGACAAAACAACAACAAGCCCCTTCAACAGTCTACATATTCAAAAGTCATTAGTAGGCAGTTTTGATTTCTAAATCTTATTCTTTTCTCCCTGAGTGGATATGCTACTCATATCCCATGAGCTACTGGCAGTGAATCAATTAATAAATCAGCCAGTTAATTAATAGACAAATCTTCCAGAGACTCACACACGTTACAGAAACTCAGCAGTCACACAAGCAGTCAGGCACAAGCTTAAATTCACATGCAAATATAGACAAGGACAAGCACTCACACACGTACACACACGCACACACTTCAGAGCAGACGCCGCGTCACCTCACCGGCATGGACACACAATCCCTGGTCTGTCTCTGCCTGAATATCAATATCCCCAGGCGGTGAAGAAGAGAACGAGAGGGAGTGAGGGAGAGAGAGAGAGAGAGATGGAGAGAGGTTGTTTTGTGAATCAGCTGCTCTTCGCTCGCAGCTCAGTCTCAGCTTGTATAGGCTCTATTAGCCTCAAATCTCAACACCCCACCCCACTCTCCCTCTTTCTGACTCTCTCCTTCCCTGTCATCTGTCCACCCCCTCCCTCCTTACCATTTCACCATCCCTCTGCCGTTCTTTTCCTCCAGTCCTCTTGCTGCCACTCCTCCTCTCTCCTCTTTCCTCTCCTCCCTGCACTACCACCTCCTGCATCCTCCTCTGACTCTTGAGAATATTCTGCAGCATCACAGTCAAGTGGAGGTGTATACGCTGCACAAGAGATTTGTGTACATGTTTCTGTCAATGTGTGTGCATATGTGAAGGTGTTTGTGTGATTGCATTTTTGCATATATGCATGAATCGTAGTTTTTATGAGTGTATTTATAGAGCAGATAAAGTCAGAATATGAGGTATAAACGTTCAAATTTGCGTGTGTGTTGATATAACAACATGTGTGTGACCTGACCTCTTTGAACACATATCAGGCTGATACCTGAGCAGTGTTGAACATTGTGAATCGGTCTGCTTGAGTGTGCGTGTGATATTCTTAGAGCCAAAGGAACTGCAGGTCTCCTCTGAGCAACAGTTAAAACAGGCCAGCCATTCATCCACATCCCGTCAGGCTGCACCGCGGACACATAGCATTTTACTAATGTTGCATTGTCACAGCACTGACACACATACACTGGACACTTTCTAGTTCTCTCTTGCTGCAGTCCTGCTGCACAGTAGCACCAGCCCCAAGAGGAGTCTGGAAAAGGTTGGGAAGTATTGTGGTAGTAGAAACTGAGTGGTTGTTATGGATGCCAGAGAAGCCACAGGAGAACAAAATATAAACCTCCAGGCCAAAACTTATATGGGGCTACATTAGTTTGATCAGTCAAATATTTTGTTGTGAAAAAATGTACAATAACAAACACAGCATAAGAGTAATCCATGCATTATTTACTCAGGAAGTAAGAAACAAGGGACTGAGAGTGAAACTGCTCTGTCATCATCACTATGCAGACAAGAGGGATTTTATAGAGCAGAGACATGCAGTCAGTGGCCCATTTGCCAAATCCAGGCCTTTGAGCATTTCAAAAAGGCCTTTGGTTGATTCTGAGGAAATGAACAGAACAGGCTGCAGCTACCACTGAGGGCACTGACGTCAGGGGTGTCATTCAGGCAGTTTAGAAACCCACATGGAGTTTTCATTCTCAATCAAAATGCTTCATGGGTGTTTTCAGGCTAATTCACTCTATATGCTACTCTACAGTACATACAGGGACTGACCCTATCATGAATTTTATACCTTTATCTATCTATTTATCTATCTATCTATCCTTTCTCTATTTGATCATTATTTCATTACTTTTTAAAAATCATTTTTCCATATTCACAGTGATATTAGGATTTACAATGGGATATCCTGAGTCATATTGTGTCATACCACATGTATATCAGTGTTGATATACACCCAAAAATGCTGACTTCTCTGTGCTATGTTGTCGAACATGTTTTCAATAGCACTGCCGAGTAGAAATGAAATTTAAGTCATTTATAAACATGTATTGTTCTGTTCCAGTGTTTGGATACACACAATGGCCAAACACACACAAGAGACACCCAATACCAGTTGTTCTTGCAATGCAGCTAAAGTGCTACAGTGTTAACCACTGAGCAACAGAGCTGCAAGACTCATAATTCATAATTCTGTCTTTTAAATGTCCATATTTATTTTCACTCCTTCACTAATAAAATACAGAATACTGATTAAGTCTTCTTCAGCCTGCCATAGATCTTTGAGAATCAAAAGTATAACCACAAGCTTTCAAAGATTAGGCATTTGTAATGCTTTTGAATTAGATTTAAGATACACAACATAAAGTAGATGTTGCATGTATACTCCCAAAATTTCTGTAGTAAGTGCAATAATATTGAATCCAATACGTAACTGATTTAAAGCCAACTTGTGACTCAATCAGACAAAAACATCTGTGTAACTGGATAGAGCTGTTGTGTGTTTTCTACAGTCGCCTGATAAAAGGGAGAGTCTATGAGATTACAGGTGGAATGTGCAGCTTGTGAAACTGGATTAGACTCCTTTTGGATATTGTTATGGTAAACACATTAGATTCAAGACCATTGCCTTGCCAATTCTGTTTCTCCCTAAATTACTTTATGCATTTCCTTGCTGTCTCTCACACAGAAATTGTGAAATCCCAACTTGTTTTAAAACCTCCATAAATTAACTTTGGACTTTGATAAGGTAAAGAAATGGTTGCGTAGCTGTGTTACTGCTTGCAAATACTCCAAGATGGTGGTCCAAAATCTTACCATTGAGGACAAGTGGTGCTGCTGGTTTGACCCTCATCTGGGTGTTGACCAGGTGGGGTCGGCCTGTCTTCTTGGAGCTGCGCTGGCGAGCCACCACCTTGGCTATATGTGCCGTCTCATTGGCCCCTGAGGCAAAATAGACCATCTGAAGAGAAAGAGGGGTATAGATACAGATGGTATTGTCAATATGAAACTGATCACAAGATCGAGGAAGCTATTAATGCTACCAGCAATGAAAGATAATTATTTAATGTCACTTTATGGACCTTAGGTGTCATCAGTGTTTTTTTTTTTATATCTATGTTGACTTTGTGAAGGCCATGGCAGCCTAGCATAACTAGTTAACTATAGCTTGCTATGATCGTTAACACTGTTACATTGGGGAGACAGCTTTCAAATGTAATGGTTGTGACGGTTGTGCATCATTCAAATTATGCACATAGTAATTTGGATGCATTGTTGTATGGGGTCCTTCAACACTTAACCTTTATCCATGTAACACCAACATCCGACAGAGAAAATGTTACCAGCATTTGGGGGGAAGTCATAGCAGAGGAAATTTGAATAAAAGTAGCTCTTACACTAACAACCCACTGATAAGCAACCTGCTGTCATCAGTTTCTGAATTAAATCTTGATTGAATCTTTTTCAGTTATATGAGATATTTCTTTTCTGAAACACTACACTGGATAGGGGTGTTTTGTGGAACTAGTGACACATAAAACACACACACACCTCTCCAGATCGGTTGCGCTCAAGGCGGACTACAGAGGGCATGCTGGCTAGCAGTGCATCCAAGTGATTGTGTCCCATTTGTTTATGTGGTATCTGCTCCCCAGTCAGCTCCTTGTACTCTGACTGTAGACGTGACAGTGACACTCCGCCCTTGTTGGCCTGGAGGATGGCCCGCAGCATCTTCTTCACCAGCTCCCCGTCAGCCATCTGAAAATAAAGCAGTCCATAAATAAGCAAGAAAATAAATAAGCTGCAACTGCTCTAGAAATAGAACAGTTTCAGTGTGGTTTCAAAAGGTGAAAATGGAGACACACACCTTCCAAAAAATAACTTAAATCAAAACAATGAACAAGAGATTCAAAAACTGAACAAATCCAAATAAGACTCAGTTGATATATTGACAAATATAGAGAGTTGACAGAATATTTATTAGAACCACATAAAGCGTGTAAATAAAAAAGAAAAGCAAACAAACAGGAAGAAAATACTGCATTTTGTCAGTATTATTTTCCTATACCTTTTACAGCAGGAAGTAAGTAGTGATTGGCACTGATGATGATGCCATACTGTTCAAATTTGCATGATATTAGATGGAGTTCTCCCTGTGTGGCAATGGCTTACTGGTTAGGCAAGTTTGAATTAACTGCTGATCAGCTTTCCAGAACAAACACTGTATTTCAGTCAGTGTAAACCGCTGTGACAGACTGCAGAGGGATAGTTTGTTTTATATAGTCAGTGTCTATGACCACAGCAAGTATCTACCCCATCTGTTTTTCTCCTGGGAAAGGGATTTTCATTTACTGTTCCACTCATCTGTCTAATAAGCAAGTGTTCACTGGTGAATTAACTCTCCCAAATCCCCCCTTGTTTTTTAAAAGCCACCAAGTATTATTGTGGGCCCCTTGAGACATGTTTGTTAAAGTGCTTTAAGTTCAAGATGTTCCTGATTTCCTACCGCTGGTGAGCCAGTTACATTCCGTCTCCCTCCAGGAGAAACACTTTCAGTTTTCATTCTGGCTGGAGCCAAAACACCGTACAGAGGAAGTAGTAGGAGTACTTTAAAGTACAAATCTGACACATCGTGTTTCATCGGGAGAGTGTGATGAAGGTTACATTATAAAAATTCAGTGTAATAGAAATATATGGACTTTCTGGCAAACTGGAGACACGCCCTCTACAAGCAGATTCAGCTTTACGCAGAGGTCCAGTCCAACTTTGAAGTTTTTAAAAACAGGTGGCCAGAAATAATCTTTGTGCTCTGCCTTGAGCACACCCAACATTAGGTATTAATATTTCTTATGGAAAGACACCCTTGTTTGTGATAAAACGTTGTCTCCTTTCGAAACTATTCTCTATTAAATCTATGCTTTGAACTGAGGCTTTAGGCTTTTAGTACTGAGCGTGGACGGTCTTGTGATGAAGAAACATGTGACAACAAGTTACACTGGAAACAAGTGAAATGACCTTGCCATGTTTACCTTAGTGGTAATACGAAAAATATTTCATCATGAGATGAGTTTGGGCCACTTGTTGATATGGCCACTTTTTGCAGCGCAGACAGCACAGCGAAACTATGAATGACGTAACGCGTCACACTTCGACTCCACACCCTCCATCGGGACCAAACTATTTGGATGAAGTTCCTCTGCCTTTTTTCGTTTTCTGAATAAAACTGTCCTTAAATGGTCCGGTCTGATAAAACAGCAGCCGCAGAATGTACTGGACCCGGTGAACTGTCCGCTCAGGACCCGATACCGCGCGCAACATCGACTTAAATCCTCCTGCCACCTCCGAGGCAGCGGCTCGTTAAGCTAGCTAGGGAACGCTACTAAAAGACCGGAAACACATAGACCTTGTCTTCATAATAAAACTTTAGAGACTCGTCGAATAGCGGTTACTAGGCATAATAGTCATACAACTTTTAATTTTGAAAGTCACTACCGGAAGTAAAGTTTTATGTCCTCGCTAGCTTGAAAGCTTTTGAGCCATCCGAGCCGGTAGTATGGAAGAGGGGAAAAATAATCACCTGGCAAAACTTAGCCAGGAGTGAGTGTTTTAAAAAGTCAATGTAAGTCAGAATAGAAGCTGTAAAAACATTCTACCTTGCTTTAAACAGACGGGATGGTGAAGTTAGGACCTGGTCCAGTCGCTGTCAGTGCTGTCACCGCCGCAGGGCTGGGCTGCAGCCGGAGCTCTGTCCCCGGTGTGTCTGCCAGCCGGTCCAGACACAGCCTCTCCTCCGCGACCTGATTGGTCGGCTGTGCATGGGCCTCTGGCTAATTACACGTCAATATGCATCAAGGGGCCGCGGCATAAGTCACAGGACACATCTCCTGTCCAACCCCAACGAAACGTTATTTCTTTGTCTGTTGGAATGTACAGTATATGGAACTTCTACTTTGGTTTAATTTAATTATTAGTAAACACCTGCTCTCTTTTCTCCTGAGGAAAGACAAAAACAAATTCCACACAAACTCATTCTTCTCATGAATAAATAATAAACATTCCCATATAGATTAATCTGAAGATAGATGGGATTAGAGTAGTTATTTTTGGTTAAATTAATAATCATCTATCCATAAGATGTTAGAAAAAATGACCATCCAATGTGGCTTCTTCAGAAGAAAAAAAGGAAAAAATAAACTCTTTACATTTTAAAAGCAGGAACCAGAAAATGTTCCTCACGTTTACTTAGAAAAAGCTAAACAAAAACGTAAAATGCTTTATATTCGGCATAATATTTATTAAATGTATTATAAATTTATTTTTCACATTTATTTGGTTATTTATTTCGAATAATATAATATTTTACATATGCATTAGCTGCTTAATGCTCTGTCCTTAACTTATTCCACTCTGTAAGTTTAACCTACTTTTTTCATTTAATAATCAGTTAGCTTTAACACAAATGCTGGTTTAAAAATCTTAGATAATATTGATTGAGCAATTATAGTGTTACTTTGACCCTTTCCGCTCATCAGCGGTCTTGCACTGCTTTCGCCCAACTATCCTTATCCATGTTTGAATTCAAATCTCTCACAACATTATCATATGTGTATTATTAACACGATATCAATATTTAATTCTTTAAATATCACGGTTATTTTACCGGTGGATTACGACGCCCCTAGTATAGAATATTGAGCATAAAATTCAGTCCAAATGTGACAACTCAAGGAATTCAAGACTATTTCTTATTGTACAGTTATTGTACAGCTGTTGTCACAACTTCAGTGACAATGAATCCAATATGAAGACCTAGTAAAGTGAATGGACAAAACCTTTGGGAGAGAGGCAACCCCATCCCTAGCTGAGGGGGCAGGGAGTAAATCCTGAAGGTTTTGATTACAAAGTGGGCGCAGCCACCAGGGGCGCTAATATCCATTTTCCTCCCTATCTTTGGTCTGTCAGGCCACCGGAAGTGACCTGTCAGACAATTGGATTTCCCAAACTAGGTAGCCAAAAAATAACAACACAGGATTATTGTTTGTCTGCATGAACACCCTGAAGTGCTTCATTTAAAGACAGGAATATCTGTGTATGCCAGGTAAGATAAATTACAATATGCAGCTATTCTATGTTGGCTTCCTAACAGTACGTCTCTTTCTGACTTTAGCTTGCTTGCTAACGTTGTAAGCCCAGTTGGCCAATTTTTAACGGTAACATTAGCTATAAGATTAATCTAGCTGTTAACTCAATTCTGATATCTAATTAAACCTACATGGAAAAGTAGAGCGTAAATTGAGTTGCTTTAAAATCATTTTGTGTTTGGCTGTCAGTGTTATTTTGAACGTAGCCCAAGCTAACAATGCAGTAACGTTGAAGCAGAAATAGCTTTTTTGTGCTTCATGATGTTACTCCCTTTTACACTTTGTCCACCTTTCCCCAGATCCTGGGGTGGTATTCTTAACTTATACAATGTTTTATGACTGAATAAAAACAAATCATTTGATAAATTTATCTTCTGTCCTACAAAATAACAGCACAAAGCGAAGAAATATTAGCCAACATTAGCCACTGTTTGTCAGCTGGTGTTGAATGAATAAACGAGCTCATTGTTGACATATGTTAGTATGTTAAAGATAACAATACATAACTTACAAAAAAATAAAAGGGTATAATGTATCAAAGACAGAGAAAGCACAGCAGTTACTTTACACGTTACTACGTCTCAATTGAGTTATATATGGTTATCCATATAAACGTAGGACAGTAAATTGATTATCTCATCACCATATTGAAGTGGCTTCATGTAAATTATAAAGCTAACGCTCATGTGTAGTTCTTATGGGAGACACAACAGCTAGATTTTACCCTCCTTTTCTGAATTCAAATCAGCTGTGACGTTTTGTGCTGGACCACTAGGATCCCTCCCTGAAATCACACTCACGTATTGTCCTCTCCCCTCATGGAAAAGAGGAAGGGATGTGAAAGTAGATGAAAAATAGCACTTATCGTATCCTTGTACCGGAGGTGAAACCATATTAACTTTTAATTATGGCGATGAACAGGCGACATTCGTATACCCCGAGGGTGAGTAACATGGAAAGTAAACATTAAATAATGTTTTATTTAGTATATCAATGCTAATTTTGATCACGCATTTGATCAGTTGAAGTTGTTACATTACATTGGCTAAAACTGTAAAAAGTAAGGGTTTGTTAGACTCACCATAAAGTGGATGTAGGATTCACCTCGATGCATTGTGTCTTCATCAGATAAAATGTGTAATAATATAATTTGGGTAAACCAAGGTTATCCTGTAGAGAAGATGATATTACTTTCCTTATGTTTAACCGATAGACAAGCTTTTCTTCCTATTAATCTTAAATAGTACTCTAGAGGATTCTTCAAAACTCTCTCTGCTTCCCTGAAACAAATCCTATGTTACAGCTTCTATCATAGCGCTGTGATAAACCTTTCTATCCAGTTTTCTGCCCTGTGGTTTAAAACTGTTAGGCAGCATGAATTCACATGTTCCGACGGCTCCATTAAAGGATTAGACTCTACCGCAGTCCTAGTTTCTCCTACAAGAGCATCTTTGTGTGAGCAAGGCAGAGATATGGCTTGTTTATTAAGAAGTCTATTGTGGTCCAGGACATATGACTGGGTGCATGAGTGTGTTTCTGTGCTTTGTGGCCTTAGGACTCACTGAATATTTTTTAATCTTAAAAGTGTTCTTAATAGCTGGAGCAGGGAGAATTACGGGGCATTATTGTTACACAAAAAACAATGCTGTTTGTTTGGGATTTTTGCAGGTCTGCTGACAATATTAAAACATTCTTTCTCATACATACTCCTACTTAGTTAAGTCGATTTAACCAAGATTAAATAAGATATAAAAACATACCATGCCTGAGGAATTCTGAAATTTAAACAAGAAATTCTCTGGTATTTAATGAACTGACCTTCCATCTTCATTGTCTCTCACCTTCCTCCTTGTTCTTACTGGTAACTAAACTTCCTCTGCTTTCTCTTCCCCACATTTCCTCATCTTTCTACCTACTTCTCCCCATCTGTATTCTCCCAAATCCTTCAGCTGACCAGCCCACTGATCAGCAAAATGAGCAGCTCAGGAACTGTGGAGAGTAGTAAACCTCCAAAGGTAGGTGACTTTTCAACACAGACACAAGAGAGAAAGAAAGAGGAATAAAGAAATAGAAAGAAATTAATTATTATCAACTAGTGTATAATGACTCACATGCTCTTTTCCTCGTCTCCACCTTTCTTCTCCTAGATTGGCTCTGTAGTAGAGGTGACAGGGAAGGGTCAGCGTGGCACTGTCGCCTACATTGGAGCCACCCTCTTTGCCTCCGGGAAATGGGTGGGTGTCATTCTGGATGAAGCTAAAGGCAAGAATGATGGCACCGTGCAGGGGAAACGCTACTTCACCTGTGAAGAAAACCATGGGATATTTGTCAGACAGTCACAGGTTAGTCACATAAATGTGCTTTGAGCAGGGATCATGTTGTGTACCTGAGGGTAGTGATCATGTGCACTACAGCCTCCTATCACTCATTTAATCACAGGGATTGCTTGATATGCCTGGGAGAGAGTGGGTTGACGGGTGTGGTTATCATGGTTTTAACAGAGACTTACCTTTTTCAAATGTGTAAGGATTTGTCCAGTTGCCCAAACCTAGTATGCATGGAACGAAACAGATTATTAGGTCATGTGGAATATTTCTAATAAGATATACACATACTGTATATTATGAATGAAAAGTCAGTAGTTTTGTAGGATGATATCATTTCCATTTCAGGATTTACTCCTAATTACAAAGGAACATTTGCTTGTTCCTGCTTCTGCCCCTGTATGCATGTTGTCCTGATCACAACTCTATGTGTCTGTGTGTACAGATCCAGGTGGTGGAAGAGGGCTCCAGTGCCACCTCACCAGATACTCCTGAGTCTGGCACTGCCAAGATACCCAGACATAAAGGTGAGCCTGGACCACAGTTGCATCTAAAATTCATACTTTAGAAAGTAGTACCTCAAAGTAAATAATAATAGCAGTAAATAATAACACAAATTCTTCATTTGTTACCTCCAGACATTCCAGAGACTCCCAAAACATCCAAACAGGTAGGCAACCATCACAACCATCACCTACACCCCAATGCATTTGTTTCATTTGTCAATGTAATAATCCTGTGGTGTTTCCATGACTCTGCTTTGATGAAGGTTGGATCCCTGTGGAACACTTGAAGTTAATACCTGCTCTTCCCAGAGCTGCTGTAGTGATTTAAATGTGTTGAACAAAATAATCAGACCTTTTAAAGCAACTAAATCCTTTCCCATAGTGGTGGTATGACTATCAACCCTCTCTCTGACATTTTGCAGTCTGTTCCTGACCAGAGCTGCATTGTGTCAAAATTATCCCCAATTTTTCTCTTTTCCTTTTACAATGAGAATGAATTTCTGAGTTTTTGATATCTCATTTGTGTTTTTCTGAATACCTTTTGCAGACACCAGTGAATGTTAAGAAGGTAGACCTGTTTAAATTAAATACATTTGCTTTGCCTTGGATGTTGCTGATCACACTAATATGGCAACGCATCTTTTGCATTAATGTTACCCTTTCACATGTTGCACGGGACATAAAGACATCACTTGTCATTGATAGATGTCATTTCCACTGTATTTGTATTACGTATCCCTTTTTCGTTTTGTGCACCAGACGTTGTTGTT